TGCGTCGGTGCCGTACCAAAACAACGCCACTGCCTCAGCGGACAACGCAAGTGCTCGTGCACCGTGCGCTTTTACCTGCGCTACCCTGCATACCTGTGCGGCGAACGTCAGCGTCTAAGCAGTCGTATGCAGCGTACGCCACATGGTCACTATCGTCTGCAAAGCTGGCACTGCCGAAGTACTCGTCATAGTTCGGTAACTGCTGCATGACAATGACGACTTCTTCGGCAGCGCCAGCTTCCCACACGATACTGATCCTGTGATCGACCAATGTCCGCCCATCCGCATGTATGGCACATATTGTAATCACCTGCGCTTGCTCTATAGGCTATGGTTGGTGAAGAAGAACGGCCCGAGTGGGACGCGGACGGCAGTGTCGTCTTTCCTGAGGCCACGCAAACTCAGAATCTGTTTGACGATGTTGCTGTCCGAGTGCCGACTCGGGCCGTTCCTCTCCACCACCCATACCCTATCCAGCATACGAGCGCCGTTGGAAGCGACATCGCCTCTGCACACCACCTATTGCTTCCACGTTGCTTGGCCGTGTTGGTGTTCGGTGTGTTGGTCGTCAGCATCGTTGCCAGCGTCATGGCGGCGGTGGCGGCTGGACAGGATTGTCCGCTGTAGCAGTTCGCCTCCACGGCTCGCCTTCGGCTTGATATCTTCGTAGGCCATGAAGGCCGGAATATTACTGGCGTACGAAAATATCACATCGGTGTGATATCTTCGTATGTCATGCATTCCTCGGCATTCCTGGCCTACGAAGGTATCAAACCAAAAGCAAGCCGTGCGCCTAAACTGCTGCAGCGGACGATCCTGCCCAACCCCCACCGCCGCCATGACGTTGGCAGTTATGACCAACACACCGAACACCAACACGGCCACGCAACGTGGCGGCAATATCTCCCGCACGCCTCTGCACATATTGCACGGCATACCTGCCCTACTGATAGACCTGCGTACTTGTGTGGCGAACATCAGCGTCTAGGCAGTCGTATGCAGCGTACACATCGTCTGTGAAGCTGTAACATATTCTTCCATGTTGTTACCAATGTTCGCCCATCCGCATGTATGCCACATATTCCATACATACGTTCCCGATCCAACCTGACTGGACCGGGCACGACCGTCCATACCATACCGTGCACGACCATGCCAGCACCACGACTTCTGCACTCGTTGCTTGGCCGTGCTGGTGTTCGGTGTGCGGTTTGCGCTGGCATAATGTGTAAACATGTTGCTCGTATACATTGCATTGCCTTGTTTCGTGTTCTCCGTTGCTGCATCCCCTGTTTTGTGTTATGTGTTATGCGAAACTTATCCGATCCCGTCTCCTGACTTTCTACACCTTCGACCAACTTCCGCAGTAGTATCGACCCACCGGATATGTGGATAGGAACCGAGTGCGACGCGGACGGCGGTGTGCCTGCAAGCTCGGAATCTGTTTGACGACGCTGCTGTCCGATTCCCCGCTCGGGCCCTTCCTCTCCACCAGCCATACCCTATCCAGCATGCCATTTTCGCCACTGCATGGCGTTAAATGCCAGCGTTGCACGGCTCTCTAGCCGTCCGACGACACGCCCGCACGGCTGGGTGCATCCCTTGCACTTGTGGGTTCGACTCCCGCACGGGTGTAGTACAACTATACGCACGGACCCTCGTACTCGCGCCGCCCAGCCGGGGGACTACGGCCCCCTCGCGGGCGACACAGCCCGCGTCTAGTGTCTGTCTGTGTCCCTTTTGATAACTTGCCGTTTTCGCCTTTTTGTCCGCGGTTTCGGAGCTGCGTCGTTTCCGCTAGCTCCGTCGCCGCTTGGGAGCCGCGGTCGCCGGTTCGCGTCCCGTCGTCGCCGCTTTTTTTCGTTTTTTCGTTCGGCGCGCCGCGTCGCACGTGGATTGCACCGCACCGCACCACACCTGGGCCCGCGCAAGGCACCCCGGAGCATGGCCGTGCGCCGCTTCGTCGGGCGCGCTAGCTCCGACGTCGAGTGGGAGCCGCAGTCGCCGGTTCGATCCCGGCGCCGGCGCGTCTTTTTGTCCTTTTTTACGTTACGGATCGCTAGCTTCGTCGCCCGGCGCCCGCACGTTTCTTTCTTATATTTTTCGTTCGGGAGCGCTGCCTTCGTCGTCGCGTGGTTCGTTTTTCGCGTCGTCGTCGTTTATTGTTATTTTCTTTTCGTTCTGGACCGTGCACCGACCGTGCACAGTGCAACACGCACGAAATCTTCAACATGCAATTCAACGCGCGATTCAACGTGCACCGAACTGTGCAATTCAACACGCACTGAAGTGCGCAGTTCAGCATGCAGTTCAATGCACAATTAAACGCGTTTATTTAACGCGCAAACCGACGCGCAATTCAGCGATGGATGACGAGCGCGCCGAACTGCGCATCTGTTGTTGTCCAATGTTGTCCCCGTAGGTTGTACGGCCTTTTGTGAATCTGTCTTGTTCACGGGCGTCAGCTCGCTACAGTATGACAGCAACGCAGACATATGCAATTGCTTTGTTTCTCTTCACGTATGGTACTGCGGCTGAGCACTGAGTCACACAAAAGCCGGCGGCTGTAAACTAGTCGATGGCACCGTCACCGTAAGCTGCACACCTTTTCGCGAAGCTGGGCTGTTTACAGGCGTCAGTTCGGTACTGTAGGATTATATGCTGCACGCCGTTTCGTGAAGCTGGGCTGTTA